ATACAACAAAACAGCCCGTACTGTAGCTTGATACACACGTCCCTTCAGATTCAGGGATAAACCATTCTGACGCCGTAGGTGTCTCAAGTTAGCAAACGCGGCCCGAGCCTTGCAGATTTGTGCATCCACCTCATCTGTCACACTACAGTCAGAACTTATACAACTACCAAGATGTGTAAAACGCTCCACAACTTCCAGTACCTCTCCCTGGATTGTAAGGGAGAGGTACTGGAAGTGAGAGCTTCCCGAAGACCTTCACACGGCCGTGCGAGTTCGTGTACAGCGCCTTAAGGAGGGTCAAGAGTTTATGGGGGATATCTTTACCCCCACAGACACTGTCATACTAGCTGACGGTTCACAGAGTCAAAGGCAGCTCTCAGATCAAGAAACACGACCATTGTTGGCTGCTGGAAGCAGTGTCGCTTTTCCGGAATCTGTCGGAGGGTGAATATATGATCGATGCAACCTCTTGCGGGACAGAACCCAGCTTAGTTTTCTTGGATCTGTATCTCCTTGTGTTCAGCCTTCGAAGGGTAAGGCTGAGGATGAAAAGGATTGGAAGTCGTTGAGAACCAGTAAAGGAAAGGGGAGAACTACAAATTGGGTTTTCAGGTGACCCAAGTGGGCTTCGAGAATACAGCGGAAATCGTTCCTCCTAGTTCCTGCTCACTAAAGATTTCATCATTACGAGAGACATTGGTGACATCGGAATCAAAAAGAATGATGAAGATATTAGCTACACAGCAGAAACGAGACATCGTGGCATTCACAGAAACATAGCTCGCACCTAAGGCGTTGGATTTGGAAAGACGTCTGGAGGGATAGGAAACACTTCGCAAAGATTGGCTTGAGTGGACGGAACCGCATCTTCATACTGCCTAGCTGCTTTAAATCTGGCAACGAAGATGTAACAATGAAATACGCCTGTTACCCCAAGGACTCTGGCACGTAGAAGTCCTAACTTGGCTACAAACCTGGAACAGGTGCACAAACTAGTGCGACATTCAGACTGAGGTACTCTAACACCACTACGGTTGAATGGCAGAATGGTCTTAGTACCATGTTAATGAACAGTGACGAGATGGTCCAAGTGGTTACAGCGCGAATTTATTGACCGGAAGGTCCGTGGTTCGAACCCGACCTCTGACTCTCGACTTTCACTGTCTAGGCTTGAGCAACCTGACAGTATCCCAGCTCTCGTGCAACTTTTGGGTGGCATGGCAGTTAGGCACCGAAAGGATGCTAAAGCTTAGTGATTTTTTAGTGAACAGTTTCGACTTGAAGCTTTTCAAACTGTACACTTGTGGCCTAACATGTTGGAATGACGAGGATCCTGCCTGAACACACTTCTGGTATCTTGGACTTAGTTCCCACAAACGGTCAGAATGATGTTTCACCTAACCCATGCCAAACCTCTAGGGCATATTGGTCGTCCGATTCTACACCTTCCATACCGTAACTGATTGACGGAATTCCAATCGATGTCAGTTCCACGGAGATGGAGATGCAGTTGGCCTTGCACAGCAGAACTGTTCTCATTGTATCCTCTACAAACCGTTTACCAAGGATTCGTTGGTTCCAGTTGCTGCAGCTTCGGTGACCGGGAAAAGGAGGAGTGGGAGTGATAAGGCCAGCCACTGAAGTCGGTCACACAATCACTTATTTGACCTTTGTTGTAACTAACTACAATTCCCGCTGCAGTACCTTAGAGTCGAAAAAAGATTCACCGACAAGAGACGCAACGACTGTATTGCGAACCAGTGAGTGCAAAAATTACAATGTGCATCGCGGTATTTAAAGCGCACTTTTGGTCTTCAGTGCATACCGAACGACTGACGTTGGGTGATTGGTTGGCGTTGCTCCTATGACATAGAAAAACACCAGGATTGACCGCACTGTTCACCGTGAATCACACTCAGCTGCAGCTTCTGCACGTCCGACAACCCTAAACACTTCGAAATCTTTTTTCCAACTCCGAAGGCCGGTCTGCTTTTTCTTCTTTTAATGTTCTCACACTGAACTAAGCAGTGCAGCAGGCGACTCCAGCTCGTCTGCTGGATTACCTCTGCATCGATGTATGTTGTCTGTCAGAGACAATGAAACAGGACACAAGTGCTGTGATTGAACTGAGCAGCCTCCCTCTCTCTCAGGTTCCCGCTGTCCCCCTCTGGTGATGCAGGGGCTGCTGAAGCTGGATGTGCC